ACAAATAGTAAAACTTGAGCAATGTACGAATTGACTAATTAAAAATAATCAGTTAAAACACCAGTTAAACCAGTTAACAGTTACCAGTTAACAGTTACCAGTTAACAGTTACCAGTTAACAGTTACCAGTTAACAGTTAGACCAGTTAAAAATAATCAGAAAATTAAGATCGTTACTTTAAAATTCCTGACAATGACTGGTCAAAATTCGCTTACTTCTTGCACATACCTTCGACCGTTATCCCATCAACATTCCACTACAATGATGTAATTTGATAGTGGATTTCATTTTACGATTTATAGCGTTTTCGAGTAAAACGAGTTTGAATTGCCTCAGGACCGATTACGTCATAATTTCTACCTTAAGTTACTAGGAAAAGAATTAAAACCTCACATTTCGATCAATATGTTTCATTTAACTCTAACTAACTGCAAAAAAGAAGAAAAAAAACGTATGATTTTAAAACATCTGCAAAATACGTCATAATAAAAAGATATATCCAAAAAATAACGCCTACAATCGATTAAGCAAATCTCTAAAATACTACTCCGAATATTTTTCTGTTCTTTTTGTTTTAAGATCAATATAAAACTGTAAATTTAACATAGGAAAATCATAAGAAATATTTAAAAAAAATTGCATGTTTCGTTAATCTTACAGTTATTTTATAGTTATTGATTGTTGGAACAAAGGGAAAATATTCATAGTATTTTAAAAGTATACTTAATCAATTGCATATATCACATTTTGTAATATTCAATTATGTTTACATTTTGAGCTTTTTATTCCTTTTCAACTTAAATTTTTATTTATAATCGACATATTTTGCAGAAATTTTGGACATGCGTTTTCTCTTTTCTGAAATCATTAATCAAATATTTCGTGGTGAGTACTCAGAAAATGATTCAAGACTTTACTAACAAACATTTTTAGATTATATATAGCAACCTCATTTTTAACCAATTTAAAAACAAGTTTTCATTTGTCTCTTATGTATGTTTGTATGTTCCTTCACAATTTGAGAGTTGTTAAAGATATAGAGATATATTTTTTTGTAATTTGTTCATTACATTATCAATATGGTTCTTAGAATAATGTTATTACCCGGGTTTATATGTTTAAATGACATGAAAATTGAGTAATTTCATTATTTTTTTTAAATCCAAAAATATTTAGAAATGTAAAATAAAACGTTTATTTTTAATTGACTTAAAAAAATTCAACAAAATTTAAAAACAAACTTTTATTAAATAATTAAAAAACAGGAATTAAAAAACTTAAATTACTGTTAAAAATTTCAAAAATATAGTAACATTAAAAAATATACAAGTTAAAAAACTTTTTGCATTCTTTAGTGCATATCGGAAATTTAAGTTCACAAAATCTGTCGAGTTACCTGAGTATAAATTTTCTTTGATAAATTTTCTCTGAACTATAAATCTAAGAGTGAATTTATTTTCATCAATATTATAGTATAATTTAATTTAAAACATAATTTTTCAACTATAATTTATGATAATTATATTCTCCGTATAATAATTATATCATATTCCCTCTATGTAATTATATAATTATAAATACTAAACATTTTTTCTCAATGTGTATCCATATATGTTGTTATACGTATTTATTTCCGTGTGTATATGTAGTAGAGTGGAACGAAAAACACGATAATGTTCGAATCGCACCATGTGGAAAAGTTGTAAATATATACCAGTAATAGCTGTATATACAAGTAATAATTGTATATACCAGTTCAGCTCAATCGGATATCTTTTGCTTGCACAAATCGGTCAAAAACTTCAAGTTTTAAGTTGAGATATAAAAAATTAACGATTTTATCATATTGAGACAATCTGATTTATGTTGGATGGCTTTACGAAATCACTTTACATTACAAAAAGGTTAGAAATTAATAATTAAAGGATCTTAGTGCATGTGTAGGGGATGTCGAGTGGATTGCTAAAAGTCTCAACTTTGGCCAATGTAAACAAAATTCACAATATTGGCAATTGCGGACGAGATTTTTATTTATTAGCATTCTTCATTGTGATAAACGTTTTGTATAATTGTACATTGTACAATTTGCGCTTCCAGAGCACTCTTTAGACTTATTACAAGTATATTTTGAAAGGTTCATGTATTTGCAGGCTGATATATTAAACAGTTTCTTTGCGTTTTTTACAAATGTTGCTATGTCATCAGCTACTTTTTTATACGTGTCTTTCCTACTTTAGGATTTCATGATGAGCTGACATTTTGCGCGATAAGCATTGCTATTTTTTGAAACGCCTTCCAATTTAGTAAATGGAATTGATGCCTTCTCATATATCGACATCAACTTCTTAATCACATTTTCAGCAATTAGCGTAAATAAGGGCTCTTCATTTTCCTCCAAGGAAGTCTGTAGTATGTGCTCTTTAGCACAGCATCGCGGAATATCTTCATCTAATCGTTTAATATAATAATTTGATCATATCATGGAAAGTCCTACTTCCAAGTTCAAAACAAGATCCACATTTGTTTGCCCGTTGTTTGGCGGTCGGCAGAATCTGAATGGGAAACAACTTCCTACTTGCGAAGATATTCTGCGATGCTGCGCAAAAGAGCGCAGACTACTGGCTTCCTTGGAGGGAGACAAAGAGCCTTCATTTACATTAATTGTTGAAAATGTGGTTAAGAAGTTGATAGTGAGAAGGCATCAATTCCGTCTATTAAGTTGAAAAGTGTTTTAAAAAATATCAAGACTTATCGCACAAAGTTCATCATGAAATCCTACAGTAAGAAAGACAAATATAAAAAAGTAGCTAATAACATAGCAACGTTTGTAAAAGACACGAAGAAATTGTTTGATATATCAGCCTGCAAATGTATAAACCTTTCAAAATATACTTGTGATAATTAGATTTAGTTTGAGCCGTGTGGATTTTTCTTTGTTTGATTTTGACGTTTCGCGAACATTTCAGTCCGCTTCATCAGAAAGGAACGACCCGATGCGTGCAACACGAAAATGACATTGGGATATGCCATATGTGACCAACTTGTTACGATTAGGAAGTATGACCAGGAAGGGTTAAATTTGGCAACTGTGTCAGACAAATAGTAGAGTCATCACAATCTATCCACTTACCTGGACGCACCATAGGAGGAGAGCGTACTAAGTGGCGGCTGTGAGTTCGAGATCTGCGTATCTTTTTCGTTCCAGAGAGAGAAAAATATCGAGAGCGCAGCTTCGCTAGGCCGGGACTCGAACCCGGATCGTTCGCTTGCCGGACGACTACTCTAAACCACTGAGCTACCTGATGCTCCGCGCTCCCTAAATAACACTCTCCCCTCCCTAAATAACACTCTCCCCTCCCTAGATAAGGCTAGAGATGCCGTTTGGAAGCGACATCTAACGCATGTCTAGCACATTACGTACTTTCCGCCGCAGAAACTCCGTCGAGCTGGGAAATCATGCATCGCGTCGTTCCTCCCTGATGTAGCAGACTGAAATGTTCGCGGAACGTTGGAATCAAACAAAGAAGAATCCACGCGGCTCAAATCTAATTTCGGAAATCAAATCTAATTTCCAGTACTTCTCGCCGATGTGTCCCTTCCCGAGAAATCTCCCCATTTTTTCCCCATTTATTATTGGATTCCGGTAGGATTTCCCCATTTTAGAAAAACTAAAGGGATTCCGATCTGTTTTCCTAACGTTGATCTTAATTTCTGTTGATTTTTGGAAAAATATAAGACTTTCTAATTAGAACCCGACCATAAACTCTTACATTTGAGCAAGAGTGTGATGTCTGAGCATTTTCTGTCGGATTCCAACCGATAATTCTTAGGTCCGTGCTAGCGCTAGTGTCGCCTAAAAAACATCGGATAAAGTTGGTCATATGACTTGGGCATTAATCTTAAAGTGCGTGTCTGTCTATATATACATGACAGTGGAGTGTATGTTTTCTGAATCGCCTGCAGTCACGTATATCATGCTTCACGCATGATTATCGAGACGAAACTTATTGGCAAACTCGTTGCCACATTTAATACAGTCTACCTGTAATCTGGAATAAGCGGCTCAATGCGTTGTCTTCGTCGACATGGGCGTTCTCTTTATCGCGTAAATGTATATGCCAGCCATCGTGAGTGTGTACGAGAAGAAATACAACAAGTGAAACTAGAATAAAAGGCAGAGAAGGAAATTATCGTATTGATTGGGACAGTATTTTCTTAGAAAACAAAAGAAATTGATGACGAACAATTATTAGATAATAATGAAATTGTGCTTTGTCGTTATTCAGTAGGGCGCTTAGCATACAGCATTGCGCACGCGCGCGTGCGTGTGCGCAATTAGTATTTTATTTTTTTATTATTTAATATAAAATATTAATTTTATAAATAAAGTATAAATTTTTGGTAATTATTCAGTTTAGACCCCTCACATCCGATTTCGATGAAAATAGGCTAAATCGACGCGTTTTTGTTAAAGAAACAACTTTTTTATTTGACAAAATCGTCGCTCTCTACTGCGAAACGAGATATTAATAGACAAAGTGGAGGGCGCGTTAGGTTAGAAAATCATACCGTCTATCTTTAGACCCCCCGCACCGCGGTGGGATGGAGAGACAGCAGTCTTTTGTGAGAAATTCACTCTTTACTTTAAACACAAGAGACTGCGGCCCCCACCCCGCCGCGGTGCGAGAGGTCTGGGGGGCGAAGTCCCTCAGTTACACAGCTAGAGATAGACAGTATGACAGATTTTTTAACCTAACGCGCCCTCCACGTCAGTTTGTCTATTAATATCTCGCTTCGCAGTAGAAAGCGATTTTGTCAAATAAAAAGGTTGTTTCTTTAACAAAAACGCGTCGATTGAGCCTACTTTCATCGAAATCGGAGGTGATGGCCTAAACTAAATAATTACCAAATTTTTATATTATTTTTTACTCCTCAAATAAAATATAGCAAAATTTGTATCGATTTGGATCGATTAAGATCAACCGGGGCTCAAATTTTAGGTGATCATGTCTCGTGTCGTTTGCCATCTGGCTTTTTGAGAAATTCATTATGGCGGCTCTATTATGGCAACGGAAACTGGAAAAAACGATGGAAAAATTCGTACGTGACTTCCTATACGCCACACAATTACTCAAATCGGCTCCAAAATAATCAACTCAAGATTCTTAAGGTCGCTGATTACGACCTTAAGACCTTAAATGCACCCTTTATGCATTTGCGAATCAATTGAGATCTTCTGGAATATTATCATTAGATTCAACAATAAGCGCTCTAAGGTTAGTAGTTCTCAAAGCGATATTCAAAGCTCATCTAGAACGCCTTTTTAACCTTCATTTACTTCATTTCTTTCAAGGAAATTGGTACTCCTTGAGGAACATTGGAATACCGTTTTATCAATAATGTTATCAATAATTTTATCAATAACGGTGATTTTAAATGTTCTGACAAAGATACAATTAACCGTAAAAACTATACAACATGATATTAATTTAATAAAATAAAAATTATTTGGATACGAAATGGGCCAACTCGAAACAGCTTTGAAGCAACATGGTTTGGACATTCCTTTTATTAATTTAAACCAATGGACCTTATTTGAAGCCTTGGTTGAGGAGAATAAAACAGTTAACAATTGTTTTGTAAGTATATATTGTTTTGTAAGTATATTGAAATGTTATTTTTTTCTTACTCCTATATAAATTAATTTTTTTTAGATTAATATTATTGAGTTATGCTTGGATAAAATTTCTAATAATCCAACGAAGAGTATAACAAATATATTAAAAAAAATAATGACGCAAAACCTTGCAATGCAATTTACGGCAGTAAAAACAAGCAATACAAAGGAGAATATTTTTAAGGACCAGAAATCATTCCCGCTTAAATTTCTACACAAGTTCACGTGCAGAAACAGCTGATTTTTCAGCTCGACGGAGTTTCTGCGGCGGAAAATACGTAATGTGCTAAACGTGCGTTATCCAGGTAAGTGGATAGATCGTGACGACTCTACCATCTATCTAACACAGTTGCCAAACTTAACCCTTCCTGGGTTTAACTTTACACTTCCTAATCGTAACAAATTGATCAGATGGGGTGTGGCATACCCCAAAGTCATTTTCGTGTTGCATGCATCGGGTCGTTCCTCCCTGTTGAAGCGGACTGAAATATTCGCGTCGGAATCAAACAAAAAAAAATCCATGCGGCTCAAACCCGGGAACCAAATCTAATTTCCAGTACTTTTCGCCGGTGTGTCCCTTCACGTGCGGAAATAGCTGATTTTCCAGCTCGACGGAGTTTCTGTGACGAAAAGTACGTAATGTGCTAAACGTGCGTTATCCAGGTAAGTGGATAGGTCGTGACGTCTCTACCATCTGTCTGACCCAGTTGCCAAACTTAACCCTTCCTGGTCACACTTCCTAATTGTAACATGTTGGTCAGATGGGGTGTGGCATACCCCAATGTCATTTTCGTGTTGCATGCATCGGGTCGGTCCTCCCTGATGAAGCGGACTGAAATGTTCGCGAAACGTCAAAATCAAACAAAGAAAAATCCACGCGGTTCAAACCCGGAAACCAAATCTAATTTCCAGTACTTTTCGCCGGTGTGTCCCTTCACGTGCGGAAACAGCTGAATTTCCAGCTCGACGGAGTTTCTGCGGCAGAAAGTAGGTAATATGCTAAACATGCGTTATCCAGGTAAGTGGATAGGTCGTGACGTCCCTACCATCTGTCTGGCCTAGTTGCCTAACTTAACCCTTCCTGGTCACACTTCTTAATCATAACAAGTTGGTCAGATGGGATATGGCATACCCCAATATCATTTTCGTGTTGCATGCATCGGGTCGTTCCTTCCTGATGAAGCGGATTGAAATGTTCGCGAAACGCCAGAATCAAACAAAGAAAAATCCGCGGCTCAAACCCGGAAATCAAATCTAATTTCCAGTACTTTTCGCCGGTGTGTTCCTTCACGTGCGGAAACAGCTGATTTTCCAGCTCGACGGAGTTTCTGCGGCAGGAAGTACGTAATATGCTAAACGTGCGTTATCCAGGTAAGTGGATAGGTCGTGACGACATCACCATCTGTCTGACCCAGTTGCCAAATTTAATCCTTCCTGGTCACACTTCCTAACCGTAACAAGTTGGTCAGATGGAGTGTGGCATACCCCAATATCATTTTCGTGTTGCATGCATCGGGTCGTTCCTTCCTGATGAAGCGGATTGAAATGTTCGTGAAACGCCAGAATCAAACAAAGAAAAATCCGCGGCTCAAACCCGGAAATCAAATCTAATTTCCAGTACTTTTCGCCGGTGTGTTCCTTCACGTGCGGAAACAGCTGATTTTCCAGCTCGACGGAGTTTCTGCGGCAGGAAGTACGTAATATGCTAAACGTGCGTTATCCAGGTAAGTGGATAGGTCGTGACGACATCACCATCTGTCTGACCCAGTTGCCAAATTTAACCCTTCCTGGTCACACTTCCTAATCGTAACATGTTGGTCAGATGGGGTGTGGCATACCCCAATGTCATTTTCGTGTTGCATGCATCGGGTCGTTCCTCCCTGATGAAGCGGACTGAAATGTTCGCGAAACGTCGAAATCAAATAAAGAAAAATCCACGCGGCTCAAACCCGGAAACCAAATCTAATATGCATGGACACCTAAAATATTAATACTTGTGATAAATCTAAAAGGGTTCCTGTTACGGAACATGCATTTTTTACCGACCAGCGCTGATAGCGCAAAATGTATAATTATATAAAACGATTATCACAATGAAAAATGCTAATTCGTAAAAATCTTGTCCGCCATTGGCAATATTATGGATTTTGTTTATATTGGCTAAAGTAGTAGAGCAGATTTCAAGACTAGTAGCTAGATACTAATGACCATAACTTTTCTAACCAATCACTAGCTCGTGACTGGCTAAATATTCCTACTTAGTCTCTTGAATGTCGAGACTGTCTAGTAACTGTACCAATTACATAGATGGCTAGATAAAAAAGATTACATAACAACGAGATAGAAAATTATCGGTAAATCCTGAATAGAAATTGGATATCAGAACTATCTAGTACTTATACCAATTATAGTTACAAGTTATTTCTTTGTATCTAGTTACTAGATAATTTTTCTGGTACAGCCACTAGGAGAAGTGAGCATTACATTCTTAGCTAGTAGCAATGTAAGACCCAACTTTTCTGTGTCATTACTAGACAATCATTAGATTCAATTTCTGCTCGGGTTATTGTACGCAGCATTTTAAAGTATTTGCAGTATCAATTGCATCCTATTAATTTTCTCTACCATGCTCTCTCTCTCTCTCTCTCTCTCTCTCTCTCTCTCTCTCTCT